ATAATAATAATAATAATAATAATAATAATAATAATAATAATAATAATAATAATAATAATAATAAATAAAACTTTAAAATACAGACAAATGGAGGCTAAACAATTTGTCATAAAAGTAAAAAATGCGCGAAAGAAAAAAAACCACTTAATAATAATAATAATAATAATAATAATAATATTGTATTTTATTTGTATTGCGCCTCTTCCAATAAAAATTTTTCAGAGGCTCATCACAAAGAAATCATTAACATATGCTAATTAAACTACAATCAATACACCTTTAACAATAAAATCGTTAAAATTCATATAAAAAGCACATTTACAATTTTCCAATAACATTCGTCAATAAAAAAAAAAATTGCATCAGAACAAATACAAACATTTCATCACAACACTAAAAAGTTACAAAAAACAAAAACAATAATCCGTATACCTGCATATGCAAATGAACAGACCCATGTTATTGATTAAATACTTGTGTAAATAAAAATGTTTTAAGTTTGAATTTAAAGGAGTGTATGGACGTTTCGGTGTTAATTATAGGGGGTTATTCCAAGCTTTGGAGCAACCGAAGCAAACGCCTGATCAACCAGAGTTGACAGCATTCTTCCTTTGAGATACTCTAATTTGAGCTCCCTTGAAGATCTAAGGTTTTGCCCCTGTTGTTTCCTAATCGTTATGAGGTCTGTCATATATGTTGGGGCAACGCCATGTAAACAAAAGTAGAATTTTTTGAAGTCTGTAGCTTTTGAGTTTGGCAGCCCATTACACTATAGTCAAGATGACTGATTATATAAAGATGGCACCAAGCTAGTTATCTAGAGGTCGTGAGTTCGGTTCCCACCCTAATTTTTTGCGAATTTTGTTCGCAAGAAATTGGGAACGTAGTGATAATAATAACAACAATTAGTAAAACCAAACCGTCAACTAACTGATGGAGAGTTAATTTCCAAAAGAGAGGTCTTAACAATGAGACTTACCACTTAGCACAACTTGTGCATCTGTTGTACCAACTTCATTAGTTGCCCGGCATGTATAGTTACCATAATGACTTGATGTTATTTGTAGTATACAAAACCTATACAAGTGATAAGTGCATTTTAAATATTTTTATTTCTGGTAGTACTATGTAATATTCAACACAATCGGGACACAATTACATTTGGTTTAGTTTGACAAATCTCTTTTGCTATTGATGTCATGGCTAACGATATTTGGCAGAGAACTGAGACCTGCTTCTCATGGGTTGATTAAGCTACGTTCGATATTGTTACATTAAATTCGTCGAGAAAATTAAGCAGATCTGGTAATTTAGAATTAGTTTTTAATTTAAGTGTTTACAGTACCTTGTTCTTCGTTCGTCAACATTTATCAAAATTCCCCGATCGTTTGATAACACAGTCGCGTTCTGAAGCCACGTCACAGTGTCAGCTACGGGTAGTGCATCGATGTAACAAGCCATACAAACATGGTTGCCAACAGCACTGCGGATATGCTTCCGACTCGTCTTCAGTCGTGGCTTATCTGCAGTAATAAAATCCCACGTTAGGTTTCACAACTGCTCCAGCTCCAAATGAGGAGCGAAAGACGGGAGAATTGCCAAATTACTTCCTTAAACAATAAAATGTTTAACACCACTCCACCCCCTTCCAACACACACAAACATTACACTGTTTTCTATTTGTCTTTTTTAAGCTGGACCTTTCCTTCAGTGCCAAGATTAACGATGAAATCCTTTTATTACAAATGTTTGTATTACTGTATTAGTATTTTCAAACATGACTGCCGAATGTCATGCTTCTTTTTCAAAGAATAAACACTAATAAGTAAGGTAGGCCTATAAATTAGATGAATTCAGTTAACTTCCAGTTTGACAACCTGAACATTATTTAAAAGAAAGAATATCAATCATCTAAAATACAGTTTGATTAGTGATGTGTTTCAATTACTGTATATTATACTGCATATTTTTATTACTTCATTGTATGGAAATAATCTATATGATTTGATTTGATTTTGAACCCATGGAAGAAATCTTGCAAGTCAATTCACTGTCAATTATTAAAATGAAAACATCGTCTTACATTTGACAATGAGTTTGATAATCTGTTTATCGCCATCAGCCTCGTTCAGGTGATTTGTTGCTGTACATACGTAGTCACCTGTATCCTCTACTTTCACGTTCCAAATTCGCGCCACTCCCTGTCCACAATCTTTGAATCGTGTATCGTTAAGATCTTGTAGCAAATTTGTCCTATACCATGTGACTGTAGGTGATGGTTTACCGTCTGCTATGCAGAATAAAACGACGTCTTGTAACTCTTTGAAGTATCTTTCGTTTGGGTCTTTTGAACCAAGAACTCGTGGACTGAGAGGCTCAATTTGAATAATCTTCCCGGGAACTAAATTTAAAATATGATTAAATAAAAAGTCTGTAAATAAAATCTGAAAAACTTTAAGAAATTGAATTAACACAATAACGAGATACAGATTGAAAATTTCAGTTCTCGGTAATTGCTTCATACAACAATTAAAAGTACTATATTTAAACTCATTACCAAAACGTTTACAGACTTATCGATGGGCAGACAAGTCTTTTTCTTCTTGCACTCACAAGAAGTGAAACGAAGGATCAGCGCTATAAACATAGAAAGTCTGTATCATATCGTACCTAAAACATCTACGGATATTTTGCTTGTGTGACGATTGTCGATTTGGCAGGAATAGTTTCCGGCATCATACGCAGATATAGATCGTAAAATCAGGTTATATAAGCCATTTGTAGCGTCATAATCTAGCTGTATATCACGTCGTGTTGATATAAGCTGGTTGTCAGATGTTAGCACTAAAATAAATAAAATCTTAAGTATTCCATAAAGCTCCGTCCACACTATCAAATTTTCGTTGACAAAAAACTGTAGTATGCCCATATATAGTCCCGATGTGCCTATAAATGGTCATAATGTGATGTCATCATTACCCTAAGGCATGTCCCGTGTTTTTGTTAAATCAAATTGATAGTCTGGACAGGGCTTTAGGTTTAAGTTAATTTCTGGTTTAAACGTTTTATAATATTTTATCCTATAAGCTGAGATCAACAACATGCATATAGGCCAAGGTATGTGTAAATGTGTGTAGGTGTGTGTGTGTGTGTGTGTGTGTGTGTGTGTGTGTGTGTGTGTGGCGAGGATGGGGAGTGTATGTGTGCATCTTGTGTGTTTCAAATAAAATAGTAGTTGAAGCAATCAATTAATAATAATAATAATAATAATTACCTCAATAGACTGTGGACTACCATCATCAACGAACGAATAAACAGATAAATATCATGGTAAATAGGGAAAAAAAACAAGAGTGAAAGTGCTGAGGCAGACAAGGATAAAATTCTCTCAACAAAAATCTGTCAACATACGTTCAACGTTGTCTGTAGTTGTTTGATGTATCCAAGCTGCCACAGAGTTTCTAGTTGGCATTGTGCAGTATAACATAGCGCTTTCACCGGTTGCTACTGTGATTTCCATAGGAGGACATGGTGATTCACGGCAACCCTTAGAAAATACTAAATATATGATAGTAAAGGTATTATGAAGTAAGACACCATGTCATTTACTACTGTTAGTATTATTATTAAACAAAACACTAGACAAGAATTAATTTAAATTAGTTGTATTGACAAGACATTAGCTTTCGTGGTGGACAGTGCACAATTATTATTATTATTAATACTTAAGTCACCAAAAGCTTAAGCTGATAAATTATAGTTTTGTCCACAATTATTCTGTAAACATCGGCTGTAACTGTTACTCTAGACTGCATCAGAATACAACTAAATCTATTCGTATACGTTATATACTTAGACCTAAAACAGCATTGAACAAGGTCTACCGTTTATGGTTGTTACAAAAGGTGTGATTGCACTGTTGTTTGAAGTTTCTGCAAATATAACCAAAAAATATAGCACATTATTCACCAATATGATGCGTATCAAGAGATTTGACTTAAAAATGAACCTTATTATTTTTTTGAAAATGAGGAAAACTGCTTTAAAATACTACTATATTAAGCTTCCAATGGGTTTATTATTTTGAACGAATTAACAGCCCCCATTTATAACAGTCACCTAATGGTGTTATAAGGCAATCATCCGCCTATTCGTTTACTTATTGATAGAATAAATTAAAAATTCCATGTCATTTAAAAAATCCCAAGATTTAATTAAAAAAATCCCAAGATCCCAAGGTGTAATAAAAATCCCAATATATCTTGGGATAAATCCCAAGCAGTGGTCACATTGCCTTACAGATTGGAATAATTTATAACAAAACAAATGATATTATTACCTTTTAATAATAATAATAATATTATTATTATTAATAATAATAATAATACATTGTTAACAATACAAATAATAATCTGATGATTATAGTGATGGTAAAAGAGTAACAATAACAAGAATAATAATATTGACCATGTTCATATACTCCCTGTAATGGTGTGTTTTCCCCCAAAAAAGCCGCAATATGCTTTAAACAACTTAAAAAAGATATACACAAGATCGTAATATATTAGTATTTGCAGAACAGAAAAAAAACTTTGCAAAAAGATACAGTCTATTGCACAATACATTTCCTGAGTGAATGTTGTTAAATCACAGGTCATTTACCTACTAAAAGTAGGCCTATTTGGTGTCATGAGAATTCAACATTCAAATAGAAAAAAAATGCGTTATGGTATGTGAACACGATTACTTTTAAGCTCAAAACCCTCATCTCGTTTATGTGATGTATGCAAACTGTACCTGTAGGTATTTATTGGTTTACTTAATACAAGAATAGGCCTAATAATAATAATAATAATAATAATAAATAAATAATAACAACAACAATACAACATACAAATTCAATAGTAAGATTGGGGGAACACCTAATATATACAATAATAATAAATAATAATAATAATAATAATAATAAATATAAGAATAGTGTACATTTATAATGCGCCAGTATCCATCAAAGTTGCTCATTGCGCATGATCATATGTTCATGATTAATTTTTTTACGTCTTTATTTTCCCCAGTAAACAAGAAATAAATGTAAGCCTTACCAGTTGACGTTCTAACTGTGGGTTCATAGTCTAGCTCTAAGTTCGAGTTGATTTTCTCTTGTTTGTAAACCTGTAATTGCTCCGTCAATTCAACACACCGAGTTTTAACAGACTTGGCATCTTCACTAGTGCCTGCTGCTTTAGTACATTTATCACTAACCGTGTAAGAACTTGAACCCTCGGTCAGCTCTGTCAACGCTACTGCTCCCCCTAATTCGCAAGCAACAAAAAGTTTTCTTTTAATAAAAGGTTGAAGAGCAACTGAATTGCTTTTCTCACGCTCTAAAGAATTATTTTTCATTTGTTCATATTTATTATTCGTATACAGGGATTGAGGGTGAGAGAGACACAGACTAACGTTAAAAATGAAAGAAGAGAGGTACGGTGGAATGAGAAAAGACATATAATTTGGGATCAAAATTGGAATATAATACGTATTCATATTTTTCCCAAATGTCTCGCTTTGAGGAATTCACCTATTTTAACATTCGCAAGGTAAACCCAAACTTGTGTTTTATCTACTCGATTAACACATCAATACCTGTTCTCATTATGGTTCGTGGATCATTAGGTACTCACTGTAACACTAAGTGTCAGCCAACAGGTAAAACGAGACCAGAAAGAGAAAGCGTAACCATCGTGACATGCATCGATGGCATCCAAGATCATTAACTGCCAATCATCCACCATGTTGAATGGAAGATTTTACAATGCGAAATCCATCAACAACTACAACGAGCAATACACGGCAGCAGTATTGCTCGATTGCTGTTTAATTTCTTTTGGACTGGAAAACACATATTTATTTACCGTCAATACAGCTTGATCCCAAAACCTTTCAGCAAGAGAATCATAATAGTAGTAAGTAGGTAGGCCTAATGTTGTCCTAATTATTGCAATCAAAACATTACGAGGGCCTACCGTATGTATTGTTCTCTAAACTGAATTCGAACAATTATAATTATGTTCAGGTATGTTTTTTTAATCAAATCAAATAGATACGGTACCGTAATGTCTCTATCTTCAGTACAGTATTGGAGAAAGGGATGTGTACGACTTCAGAAGGATCGTGGTGTAATTATTCTCTAAAGACACATTCAATCATTGTTTATAAATGAACATTTTAATTTTTGATTTATTCCCTCTATAACAGGTTTCGTAAAATGTAATCACTGTTTTCGCAACATGGTTCTGAAATTTTGATAAACTTGAAAATACTGGTGAGGTAAAAAATGAAAAATTAATGTCCATTTATCGATGCGTGTATATAATAACCATTATTATGACGCGTTCAAATCAGTGCAGGTCTCCTGTGGATTAGAATTTTAAAGTTGGATGCACATCCGTCAAGACATGATACACATTTTAGGATAATTAGCAACTAATTGTGCATACCTAATAAGCGTTTGCATATGTAGCTGAAATTTAATTTTGAGTTATATTTGACAGATGCTATTAAAACCGTGTGGATTTCCTTTTAGTGATAATATATTTTCTATTTTACATTATCTTTTGTGGACGTTCAATTGTCTGAGGTATACAAACTTCTCGTGTACTTTGAAAATCAAACATTTCAAACATAAATTAGTAGGCAAATAAAACAAAACATTTTGTTGATCCAAAATCACTAGAATGAAAATTATGCGTTTATTTTTACCAAGCTTTATCTTGTTCATCTCTCTTTGAAAGAGCCCAATACTTGACATTTGTCCAATGTAAGAAAAAAATTCCGGCCGACCGCTCTCATTTCCAAATGGCACATGATTTTCCCCTCTCCCATCATTCTCCTTTTCCTTTCCTTACCGCCATAATTTTAGAATTGACAGTACATCTACAGTTCTTTAATGTTTACCAACAATATCAGTCCAATCATGTATTCTAAACGTAGCCTGACATCCATACCACTTAGAATTGCATGGTGTGCATTATTTTTCATGTAGCTCAGTGCATACCGATAAATACAATAATCAACATCATCTCCCCTATATTGTGCATGAACCTCGTATTTAAGTATATTAACACGCAGTGGTGATGGTTGTGATAGTAGGCGATTGTCTCTAGAATGAACAGGAGATTACAAGGACATAAAAACCTGAAATATTAAGCACTTGCACAACGTGCCGCTTACAATTACTGATAATAAAACCATTGTTATTTTTAATTAATAATAAATTTAACTGATTTGGACTTCTGGATCAAATGCTTGGTGAAGCACAATATCAGGACAAATTTTATTGAATTTAATGAGTAACTATAATATTATCGTTATATTACCGGTTATGACGTTCTGCAAGCAATTACCTTTCACCTTGAAGACCGTTCACAGGTAGTAATCTTACCATACGCAATTTATTTTCAATAAGCTAGTTTTGAATGTGAATCAAATGCGAAACAGGGACAACAAATAATTATGTTGCTCTAAATTAGTTCGAGGTCGGATTAAAAGCAAGGGAATTATTTCATTCAATAAGTACATTTGAGTAGTAAGCTGGGTTTTTTTTCTCCAATTCATTAGAAATAAATATTAGCCTATTTTCTAAACTCAACATTTCTATTTTAGTATTGTTAAAAGCAATATTCAATTATTATTATTATGGCCAGGAAAAAGCATTTAGTGTACTGTACTTGCCCTATAACAAAAATAGAATCTTGAATTTTGGCCTTGAATTTAATGTAGACTGGAACTATATGATGTGATACATTACTGTAATTACATAACATATACTACATTTACATAAAACATCAAACCAAGGCATATATCTAGCATGAAGGTATATTATGATATACCTCCATGGTTAGGCTATATTTATAGCCTACAATACACGGGTACAATACTGAAATACAACAAACTCTTTCAACTGACGTTAGCAAAATCTATAACATAATTAAAAAACTATTGTTAATACCAAGAAGATTTCAAATACTAACATATAAGGCCATTATATTTAAATATATTCGCAATGAAATGAAGACTTTTTTTCAAATGGTACTACAGAATCAATTAACATTACATCGAACTCGGAATGAAAAAATAGTGTTCCTTGTTAAATGCTTTGGATCCAGCTAGCTAGAATACTATGTTTGAAAGAAATGCATGAATGAAAATATTTAATTTCTCACTAAGTGAGAGGCTGTGCATGTAACGGTGAATCAACATTACTTACGATTCATATAATTTTATGATGTTTCAACATATGACGTTTACGCAAATTCACAAACATAAGGGAAATGAACATTTATTTTTTTAGAAAGATTATACTGTACTGTGTATAGAAATTCATTGATATCGAATCCCATGTGGTATAATTCGCATGTGGCAATTTTTCCTCAAATTGGAAAATTTAGTAACAGATAAAAATGGCCATGATGAGCTGATTAGCCGATACTATTCTTCCAACAATGGTTTGGAACATTAGAGGCCCTCAAATCTACCAGGCACTTGCATGCCTAGTGTAGGCCTATGTTAAACTCTGAGATTAGCATATAACTCGTAATAAACAGAAATAACTACAATTAAATAATAAAACTAAAGATGACACGCTTTTGAATGTTTACATGTATACACAATCACTAATTCATGTACGAGTAGGCATACCCAAATTTGGATGATGTGATGAAGTGTATAAGAACAATATAGACCTGCATGCAAAGGAATTCATATCATAGGGATAGCTATTGTTAGATCAAGTTTTAAAAATAATAGCTAATTAGAGGCCACTGGAAGCAGCACGTATCTTAGATGACAGTGGTACCGTATCGCTTTTGCTGTTTATGAATAGATCATTTGTTTGTATTTGTAATGTTTTTATATTGGTTTTTTTTTGCCAGAATTAATAATTAAAAAATAAAAATACAAAATACATTTATTGTTCTCTGCACTACTCTCACAAAGAATGAGATGCATTTACTAGGATTACAACAATGGAATTATCTTTTCATCGCCATTTCGCATAGAAATAACAGGCACACCATTAATTCCAAGAACTTGCACCATTTATAAGCGAAACATCAATTTGGTATTTCCAACAGTTAATGAAAATGTAAATATTAGATTTTCAAGTCTTGTGTGTGTTTTTTTATAATTAATTAATTAATTTATTTATTTATTTTTGTTTTAGAACACCAGTGGTAACCTAACTGCCTAATCTATTCTCTAGGACTACACTGATTTTACATTTCGGTTTTAATATATTATGAAAACGAGCATTGTGAAAATATCTAAACAAACAATTAATTTGTTTCGCATTTAATTACGTAAAAATAACATTGTATTATCTCAGTCAACAATGATTACAATGATACAAATATCATATCGATGATGTAACAATTATGTTACTTACTTATAGATGTTAGAAGTAGGCTTATTATTACCAACAACCGGCATTGATCCACCACCTTCGTCATTTTGGTAAATCTCTCAATTGCAGTCGATCAGATTCTAAGAGTTTTTACACAATCAATTTTACTTAATAAACGAATCCGCTTAGTCCTCCAATAAAAATCATTGATTGAAACGTCCAACACAAAAAACGCGTATGTGTTGTGGTGATAGTTGGTGGGAAAGTAGCAGACAATTAGTAATTTCGAGTAGACGATCAACACTTGGATGTGGATTCCTACAGTCCTGCAATACACATTGAGAAGAATGTGTCCTTTGAGTAGGTATATTTCGTTGATCTAACTGTGTTTCTTCATTAGTAATAACTACTCAAGGTTTTGTTAGCGATCTTGTCGAATCGTGTTCGCATTAGTTGATGACTGAGCTGGGAGATACAAATGAACTGCGGAGACTGCGTTTGTTAATAACAATCAGCTACAAAGAATATTGGATTTTATACAGTTTAAACACAATAATTGAAGTCTAAATGCATATACACTTTTGCAATAATCGTTATTTTAGAACTATAAAAACTCATCATGTGAATGCAGAAAAGAGTATTGGTAGTGAATGCATGACTTTTTTGTTCAATTTATTACAAATTGTTGGACTAATGGAGAAATAGCAAGTTGACCCCAGCTTGTAATCATTTCAAATTAATTCAGAAAATAATGGAATCGTCCTAACAACGATGTATATAGTGGTTTCGAAAAATTGTGTAAAATTTCTGTAGACTTACAGTAGGGGTGGTGGAACCATTCTTGTTTTTTCGTTTGGTGGTTTGAATTAACATCACCTTGCGAGTATATGGTCCCACTTATGACGCAGACATAATTGATTAATTAATATTTTCAGATCTGAAATGAAAGTTAAAATTTAGGCCAACAAGTAGGCCTATTACTGTATTTCTTATTTCACAGTTACAAACATGCATTTTTATAGAATTCTGAAGGTTTACCCAGACCCTTCCTCTAAGTTCGCCCATGATATTATGAATGTAAATTTTCCAGCAAAAATAATCATGTTTTCTGTACATTTTTTTTCTCTAGTTAATAATCCAATTATGTTGAATTTTATTCTGAATCCTCAGCTTCATCAGGAGCAAATATCTGTATACGTAGGCCTATAGTAAAAGCTAGCCATGGTTATTACGGATGACGTCATCATTCTGGAAGATGATAGCTAATTTAGGCTTACAGATAGTTGGCCTCTTGAAAATTCGTGAAGTATAGAAACATTTAATAGAGTAAGGAAAATTGACGTATAATCAGTTTTGTTTTATAAAGTGAAATTTGATTTTTCTTTATAGAAGTACTAGTTTTAATTTGTGTTGCCACCCGGCCTTTCGCCACCCTAGGCCCGTTGCCACCTGGCCTTTAGCCACCCGGCCTTTCATTTTTCCCACCATAGGCCCGTTGCGACCCAGGCATTTTGCAACCCGGCCTTTTGCCACCCGGCCTTTTGCCTCCCGACCCGTTGCCACCCTAAGCCCGTTGCCACCAAAGCCAGTTGCCACCTGGCCTTTTGCCACCTTTGGGAAAGTCGAATATTTATATTATTAAACTTTAAAATAAAAAATGAGGCTAAACAATTTATGTCATAAAAGTAAAAAAAAAAACACTTAATAATAATAAAAATAATAATAAATAAATAAATAAATAATTAAAAAAAAACCAATACAACATACAAATTCAATAGTAAAGAAGATTAGGGGAACACAATAAAATATATAGAATATAAAACCAGTAAATAATTAAAACCTTGAAATACAAATAATATGAGGCTAAATTATATGTCATTTAAAATAATAATAATAATAATAATACTAATACTAATACTAATACTAATACTAATACTAATAATAATAATAATAATAATAATAATAATAATAATAATAATAATAATAATAATAACACACTAACTAAAAACAGTACATACTCAGAAAACATACACATATACATATGTACGTCTAAATACATACAGATAAAGATAAAAAGCTAATAAGGATTACTTCACACATGTGCCTTACATGATGGATAACCGCAACAAATTGTCGTTGTTTACAACCTGCCAAACAATAAATCCATTCATCATTCAGTACACACAGTTTGGTGAAAATGCCGAGAGTAAAATTTCTGCGAATACAATGCATAGGCCTACTATACAACTATGGGTGGCAAAGGGCCAGGTGGCAAAAGCCCGGGTGGCAACAAGCCTACGGTGGCAACGGACTGGGTGACAACGTTCCGGGTGGCAAAGGGCCGGGTAGCAATTTTAAGATTTTAATTATTTAAAGGCAACATAAAAAAAATACAAGGCAATTGTACTTTCTTTACAATACAACAATATAAACAATCAAGTGGTCAGATGACATACTGTGCAGAAAAAGAACAGTTGTTTATGGATCAACATCAAAATGTCAACAAAGCAAGGTCAAGTTAAAAATACTGCAAAAAAGCATTATTTTATAGTTTTGTGAAAACCAATACCCCAACGTGAAATTCAAATTCTTAATGTGGTTCCACAGTTGTATATTTTATTTCATACGAATACGAATACGGATAAAACTTTATTTTCGATCATATAAATTACAAAGGAAAAGCATCTTCAGTTGCCAAAATCACAAAGTACAAATAGAATTTAAAAAGCATTATATATAAAAACAGTATAGAAAAGGTTTATCAAAATGATAAACAGCCTGGAAAATTACTTGTTTAGAGGAAAAATATATAGAATGAGTTTCAAATCTTCTGCATGCTCCATACTTCTCAAAATGTCCAATACATCCCTGCTTCTCAAACTATTGGTCGCGAATCAAATTTTGGTTGCCAAAACATTTCTGGGGGTTGCGAGACTGATTCTAACTTTAAAAGAACAAGACAGATTTTGGTAAAGTACATTTCGAAAAATTGTAAAAAATACCTCTACAAAAGACTCAACTCAAGAGACGAAAGCTAGAAATTCATTGTCTACACAAAACTTAGAAACTACTTTCATGGTTGCGCTGTCGCCAACCTCTCAAAGCTTTAATAAGATCATTAAAAATAGACAGCAGGAACATAGCTTACATTAACACATACACAAATCAATACAAGTATATGAAAATTAAAAGTGGGTGCCACCCCAAATAGTCTGAGAAGCTGGGCTCTGTATGCCACATTCATTTACCTATTGATTTTAATGAGAACGAGTAATAATGCATACCAACTCTAGTTAAAATTTAACATAAATTAGAATTTTATGAAATATCTTAATTAAAATCGCATCTTTACGATAAAATTTTAAAATTATGAGTCAAGTGATCTGTAGGATATTTCATTATGTGACAGAACCTAATTTGCATAGGCTTAATTAATAGTGCCAACAAATTAACTCCCTGGAAACCGCACGGACGGAATATACTATTTTGATCCCGTGCAAATACATGCTACCATTTGGCTTATATTAGGTACAGGAATTTGGTTTCTATAACTTGAATTTCTTTCAGCATTCTCTGCAACTTCGGGTACAAAATAGTTTTTATTTGCATTGCCTTTGATGATTAACCAATGAGGCAATTAAAATAGACAACAATAGAATAAAAAAAATTATGACTCAGTTTATTTACAGCTTTTATTCAAAAAACCAAAACAATCACATTAAGTTCTCTATTGTTCAACAAATAATTTGTTGAGGTTTAACAGAAATTGAAAAATTGTTGTGCATTTCAATACTGTATGTTTAAAGTAAACATGTCGTTGATTTATAAATTTAAGAATATTTATGCAATACTTGTTGAAGGGTTTCTATAGATATAGATAGGTGTGGGGAGGGGTGTCTGGAGTTAGAATCTCAGTACTGTCTTGCTTTATCTATAATAACCTACAATATAGATAGATAGGCTTAATCTCTATTTTTAAAATTATGTTTCAATGGTTGATTTGATATTTTAGTTTCAGCAGCTTTAATTCAATGGTTGATGTTTCAACCATTAATTTTTTGGGTTTAATTCTTAATCTTTGCTTGTTGGATCAATTTTTAGGGTTTATATATGTTTTCTTTAATACTGCATACAGTATATGTGATTCAATGTATGCTTTTTATAGAATTTTAATATAATGATAATGATAATTCGTGGTGTTTTTTATATATTCTATTTGCAACCTTGCCACTTCAGTTTTTAACTACCGGCCAAGGATGTATATATTTTTATACAAAATAAAATAAAATAGAAAAATAAACCTAATGGGCCTTTTGCTACACCACGCCCCTTAAATTTTGTGCCTAAGGTCCCACAAAATACTAGTGTAAACCAGCTATGCGGCCGTTCCAACGTAAAAAAACGTAACTTCAAAAGATATAACGGTACTGTAGTTACGTTGTTTTGCCATATTACGGCCGTATATAAAACACATGTGTTTTTGGGACTAGACTGCGATTGTAGGACATGCACATATTTTGATTGACACTTCGGAAATGTCCATTCATTAAAATATTGGCCTATTTAAGGTAAATAGTAATAATAATAATAATAATAATACTGTGGTAATATAAATCATACAAACAATAACACTATTAAAATGAATGTGTTGGAGTGTAATATTATACCACCAGAGCCGAATGATTGTATTAGTTCTGGCACTATTGAAATCCTCCCAAATAATTTTATCTGGCTTCAACAAAATAGGCCTATCATAGGTACTTAGCTTTACTTCATTGGCTTATCATTGAAGGATAAGTATTGTACCTATGTATTTAATTCTTGCCTATTGCTTGATTGATTTGGCCAAAAAAACAATTACTAGTTTGTCGTCCCCTTGCAAATCCATTTTCTCTGCTTCACCAATTTCCTTTATTTTATGAAATGTACGAAAATCTGGCAACTCACATCAGTAAAATTTCTCTATCGATCATTTGTGGTTGGGGATACATATGGTATGAATCATGTCTAGTGCTTCTTTTATTTGCTTTCAATGTATCTACTTGGTAAAGGTGAGAAAGTAGTACTGTTTCCCATCAACCATCTCGGAGTGCCCTCATTCTCCATTTTCAAAATATTAGGATGAGAAACTAATTGTTTTTATTTGGCCTTAAGTCTATGTCTTGTAACTTGCCATCCACTCATCAATGTGAATGAAGCCAACAATTGGCAATATATGTGAATTTGGGTCTTAGGTCACCAAACTTTGCATTGTGTTATACTTTCTAAAATGGCTTTCAACATTTCTGGCGTATCATCTTTTAATGCCAATGTTAACAATAGGGGCTTAGTGTTTCCAAGCTGGTGCAACTTCAAAGCTATATTTCTTGCATACACGTGGGTGACAGGCTGTGGGCAAGAAAAAAAAAAACCAGATCAGATACATGTAGATTATTTCTTATTACTAGTCATGCTTACACGGCCGTTTCCTATCAGATAAGTAACACTGATGATCTCCAGTCGAGAAATCATTGGTTATACCATATGACAAAAACTGACCTGGAAAAAACGCGCGCAATGCTGCTTGTTTTGAAACCATTTGTCAATTTTAAAACTGTATGAAATTGATAAAAACATAATTTTTTAAATAATAATAATTGTATTCCTGCTGTCTATAAACAGCGACATCCAGCTATGACTCACAAAGGCAGCTAATTTACATAAGGTAATGCTGATGATCTCTGTGAACACCACTGAGATGCGGCGGTAACTCTATACATCACCATGGTTACTGCTGTTATGCAGAGCCACTTAACACCTATCAATGAACGCGATTAAAGAACAATTAAACAAGGCTACTGACTGTAGATTAATTATCAAATGGAACGTATTTTTTTGTTTTTCATCAGATTTATCTTAATCTATTATTTTTCCTAAATTTTCTGTTCAATGTAAGTAGATATTTCATAATAAATATATAAACTTTGTATATCTATGCATCTATGTACACTGGATATGCATGTGTGTGTTTGTGCATGTGTCAATAAGGTGATGTGGTGTGACTATTAACAGTACCCATTAACAACTACTGTAGCCAATACCTCATCTTTGCCAATAAGTACTTTGGTGTTGAACAAAGGCTGTTGCATTCCAGAAATCTCAGCCTCATTAAAAACATACATCTAAAAAACATGAAAGAAATAATTTAGTTAATTAAAATTAATTAAATAGTAGTCATTACATCAGTTATCTCCTGCAGGAGCTTTCCGGAAATCAGAATGGTCTATCCCTCACTCCCGCAAGCAAGAATCTCCGGGAAAACAATCTTCCACTAAATCATGAATATTTTTACTACTTTACTACCAATTGTTCCATGGAAAACAGTGCTGATGTCAAAGTCATCTTCATCATGATCATGGTCCTTTAAAGCCCCATTCCCGGCAAAATTTCAATTTTTAAGAAAAATCTAATTTTTGTATAATGTTATAAAGATTTATAAATATAATACGGAATTGCTAGTTTAACTGAATTTAGACATTCCTAAGAATGAAAATCTAGATGTGTATAAGAGACAGAGTCTGTATTTCTCATTTTTTTTAGTCTTTTGCGTAAAACTAAAATTCATGCCAATATTTTTCCATGATTTATAATAATTGGAGTAATGCAAATGCATATTTTCTAAAAAAAGTCATTTTTAGTGAAATTTTGCCGGGAATGGGGCTTTAACAGTATCATGAAGAATGTTGTTAAAAATTTGTGAAAGGAGACATTGGTTCCAAGGACACTAATTGTACTGGTCAGAAAAAAAACAAAAAAACCTGCAGCAGGTAAAAAACTACAATAACTCACAATTTGAATTAATAATTAAACACTTACCACTGTACCCAGTTTTTGGTACTGTGTAATTATCAGCATCAATTTGTCAGTAAATGAAGTACAAACTATATCGGTATGTATGTTGCTGATCACCACAGCACCCTGTAATATACAAACATTTTTAAAATTTTGAATGTAATAACAATGCTGGTGACAGATGGGGTGACAGATAGGCCTATTCTATACACCTTAATAAACTTTTGGCATAGGCTGCTGAATGAAGCCTAGTTAGCTAAACCTTTTAATTTTCTTTGTAGTAGTAGCTTAGCCTGGCCCTAGCTAGGCCTCTTCCCTACAGAAAGGCCTAGACTAGGGCCAAGTCCCTATTCTAGTAGGAAGGAAGCCTAGGCTAGGCCTCCAAGCCTAGATAACCTAGCCTAGGCCTAGATAGAGCTGGGTGGAAAGGCCTCGAGCTGACTGGTGCAGATAAGAGATCCATTAAACTGTAGTACATACTATAATTAAAGACACACATATTGTATAGTCCCTCCCCCTCCAAATACCTTTTTAGACTGAGGGACAGCATTGCTATCCACACCACCAGCCGCCATGCTTCTTGCGAAGTTGCTGCTGGAATTTTTTGGCAAATCGTCTGCTTTGAAAAAAAAATCAAAAAGTATTTATTATATAAATTATATAGCATTAAATTAATTTATAAATTAATAATACAGTATATATCTATATGATGATGATAATTTTCATCACTGTGTTTTATTTAGTTTAGTTTTTACTGGTAAAAAATTAAAATTACAATATAAATGAATAGGCCTATTAACAAATTAAATAAGATGTTGTGCGAAGGTCAGAGTTGACTGTAAACAATCAAAACATGTCTGAACGTATTGTAGGATGGATTTTGTTCTTATTATTCAGTACTTCTGTAGGTTATGAGGAAGAAAATAAATACACGGATCCAAATCATGTATCTGATTTATGTCTGGCAGATGATGGAACAGACAAAAACCAGTGTAGTAAATCAGGACGGAATGAACTGACACGGCTAGATGGCGTCGAGGTTTGAAGCTTTATTTTAATATTTACCGACCATGAACATTGTCACTGTACTGTGTTGCTGTTGTAGATGACTTCTAGCATGTTGCGCCGTAGCGTATGGAACGCCGGGCTGTTGGGTGGGAGGTTGTTGGGTGTTAAAAAACTTGTTTGATATTTTGTAGAACTGATTTTTCTAAGACCTAAAAAGCTTATTTGACAAAAAAAACACCGGAACGGTTAAATAAGAATCTTGAGATACAGATTTTTTAAATATTCATTAATTAAAAACCACCCTTTTTCCCATTTTGTCCCCTTGCCTTGGTGTTAAATATTCAAAAATCTGTATCTCTTTAACTGCTACCCGAGTTTTTAGTCAAATATGCTTTTTGTGTCAACATATCAAACATTGTGTGTCCCTGTGTGCAAAACTAAAGGGTCGTGTGTTATGCTGGTTTTCCACAGGTGCAGGTAAACGCGGACCATACCGACTCGGCCTACTGCCAACTTGGCCCCTAACCGACTCGGCCCATAACCAACTCGGCCCTTGTCAAGTCGACCCTTTAACTGACTCGGCCCACAACCAACTCGTTCCATACACCTTCTCGGCCCTTGTCCGACTTCGCCCTTATCCAACTTGGCCCATACACCAACTCGGCCCTTGTCAACTCGGCCCTTAACCGACTCGGCCCTTAACCGACTCGGCCCTTATCCAACTCGGCCCATGAACCGAGTCGCTTTTGGAATATTTTAATGGGAAATCCGTTTGTGAACAAAGTCTATGCCTATGTCAAAGGTATTGATCATTGATAATAACAATAATAATGTAATATTTATATAGCGCATATTGCACATTGCCCCTATGCGCTTTACAGAAGAATAATATAGGCCAACTGAGAAAATGCAAATAACAATAAAATGATAACAATAAAATAAAATAAAAATAATAATCATAATAACAATAGTAACAATGAGACTAAACTACTCCTATTCCTTAAGGCACGCACTTTTGTATGGTATTATGAAAATTTGGTCTTGATTAAAATCTAGCTCCAACATTCCATTTTTCGCTGTCCCTTTTGACAGGGCGTACTACAGTTTATTTTTTGCGCACACCAGGTTGGAACCACTGATGTCGTTTGTACTCTACTCACTGCAATATTTTTGATAGAATAAGAATAGGACTATATACTATATTAGGACTATAGAACTATATACTATATACTCAGCCTAACAATACTTTATCCAATTGCTTTTATGAAGGTTGGTCACACTCGTTTAATCACACTAGATGGAGATAAGCCTTTACATATTTCAACACTGAATATGAAACCATTAATATTTGGTAAGAACAAATAATTGTAAGAACAAATAATTGTAACACAAAAAGAAACAGTAACCTTAACTTAAAGTGCAAAAACACATTCAAACAGCCATAGCTATCGGAGAGTATTGACCCTCACCAAAAAAAAAAAGAAAGAAAGAATTGTTATTTTATTTAGCACAGACTTAAAGCAGAAGTAGAAATTCCTTAGAGTTTAATAGAGGCATGTTAAAGTAGGGTACTGTAGGCATTTTAAACCAAGAATCAACTTGAAGTAGGTAGGGGAATTTGAGCCATACTATGCCATAAAAAACAGGGACCATGACCGAAGAATAAGTATATTTACATTCAAACTTTATTTTTTACCTATTTTCAGAAATTAAAGATTTTTTTACTGAGGCAGAGTGTGAACATATGATTAATTTAGCCAAGAAAATTGGACTTGAAAGCAGCATAACCCAACAAGAATCCAAGGGTGTTAATGGTATTAAAATTATGGACAGTAATGGAGATCAGAAACTGGACTTTACAGAGGTAATTGTATTTTAATTAGCTTCCCAAAGGAGCAAAACTAGCTCCTGGGAGGTTTTATAGTAGTGGAGACAAAAAAACTGAGGTACTCTTCCAATTTCTATAGTTCTTGACAATTAACATCTATCTTTCTCTTTGTATTTACTGTATTCAGTAATATTAAGTATGGTATATATGAGCCCATATGAGCCAAGAGGCTCATATGGGCTGGAGCCTATCCCCAGTTTCAAGTCATGTGAAACAGATGAGAGTGTGCTGTTGCCCCAGGATGGGACACTGCTCCACTACAGTTTACTCCCAACAATTTGCTGTGGTACCCATTGATACAGCAGGTTAGACTGAAGCAGTGCACCTGTAGATAAAGTGCCTTGCTAAAGAAGACAAATGAAATGCACAGCGAAGCCTGACCTTGAGGTTGGGAAACCACCATTCCCACTGCACCAAGCTGCCTTCAAAAGTACAGTACAGTACATTACTCCTAATTTAATATTATACCATAGTTAAATTCTGCTAGCAATTTCATATTTTTCTGCAGATGAAAATAACAATTGAGGATAATTTTGATATATACCTCGATGATGCTGATTTAAGAACAATGTGAGTTGATTCATCGTCCAATCAAATAATTTTTAATTGCAATAAAAAAAATAGTTTGCTAATTAATAATCATTATCGCATAACCTTGTTTGTAAAATTCACCCTTATTTATTACTCACTTATTTTTTTAATAAACGTATACTGTCTGTCATAAACAAACTTGCTTAATTTGTATTTAAGTAATTTGTTTGCACTGTTATATTCATTAAATAAATATAATAAACAATATACTATTATCATTATTTTTTTTATTGTTGTTGCTGTTTTTGTTATTTAAATAATCATGAAAAATATTGTAAAATTAGTCAGCACCATTTATATTTCTTCTTTATATTTTTTCATTATACTGTACTATAATTTTGATAATTTTTAAGCCTACTGTAGTATCTCTATTACTGATTAATACAAGAAAGAATTGTTATCTTATTTAGCACAGACTTAAAGCAGAAGTAGAAATTCCTTAGAGTTTAATAGAGGCATGTTAAAGTAGGGTGCTGTAGGCATTTTAAACCAAGAATCAACTTGAAGTAGGTAGGGCAATTTGAGCCATACTAAAAAAACAGGGACCGTGATCACCAAAGAATAAGTATATTTACATTAAAACTTTATTTTTTACCTATTTTCAGAAATTAAAGATTTTTTTACTGAGGCAGAGTGTGAACATATGATTAATTTAGCCAAGAAAATTGGACTTGAAAGCAGCATAACTCAACAAGAATCCAAAGGTGTTAATGGTATTAAAATTATGGACAGTAATGGAGATCAGAAACTGGACTTTACAGAGGTAATTGTATTTCAATTAGCTTCCCAAAGGAGCAAAACTAGCTCCTGGGAGGTTTTATAGTAGTGGAGACAAAAAAACTGAGGTACTCTTCCAATTTCTATAGTTCTTGACACTTAACATCTTTCTCTTTGTATTTACTGTATTCAATAATAAGTATGTATATATGAGCCCAGCTTATCCCCAGTTCCAAGTCATGTGAAACAGATGAGAGTGTGCTGTTGCCCCAGGATGAGACACTGCTCCACTACAGTTTACTCCCAACAATTTGCTGTGGTACCCATTGATACAGCAGGTTAGACTGAAGCAGTGCACCTGTAGATAAAGTGCCTTGCTAAAGAAGACAAATGAAATGCACAGCGAAGCCTGACCTTGAGGTTGGGAAACCACCATTCCCACTGCACCAAGCTGCCTTCAAAAGTACAGTACAGTACATTACTCCTAATTTAATATTATACCATAGTTAAATTCTGCTAGCAATTTCATATTTTTCTGCAGATGAAAATAACAATTGAGGATAATTTTGATATATACCTCGATGATGCTGATTTAAGAACAATGTGAGTTGATTCATCGTCCAATCAAATAATTTTTAATTGCAATAAAAAAAATAGTTTGCTAATTAATAATCATTATCGCATAACCTTGTTTGTAAAATTCACCCTTATTTATTACTCACTTATTTTTTTAATAAACATATACTGTCTGTCATAAACAAACTTGCTTAATTTGTATTTAAGTAAATTTTTTGCACTGTTATATTCATTAAATAAATATAATAAACAATATATTATTATCATTATTTTTTTATTGTTGTTGCTGTTTTTGTTATTTAAATAATCATGAAAAATATTGTAAAATTAGTCAGCACCATTTATATTTCTTCTTTATATTTTTTCATTATACTGTACTATAATTTTGATAATTTTAAAGCCTACTGTAGTATCTCTATTACTGATTAATACAATTTTAGAGTACAGTATTCATTGGATTTATGTTTATTTCATCTTTTGTTCCACAATAGTTATGCAGATCTTGGAATTGACCCAAACAAAAATGGTAGGTGTGAATATGATATTAATGATAATAAAACAATGAATGTGCATATACTAGTACACTATTAACATGTTGCTGTGCTTGCAAGTAACCTCGTAAATAACACTTTGTGCAAATTGACTGGCCGAGCAGTAGGCAGGGGCGTCGCTAAGTACTGCCTTAACATCTGCGCTGATTTGAGCTGGTACTCGTCTTTTTTTGTGATTATGTGTTAGTATTTTTTTTTTTATACCCTTATTTTCCAATTTCAATGACAACACAGCCTTTTAGAATAACACCCTCTGGGTGAGACAAGCTTTCCGTGTAAAAAAATAAAGTTTTAATAATATTAATAACAAAATAATAGGTTATTTTCCTCCTTTTAGTCTTTATACCTTTATTTACATAAAATGTTTTGTATTTTCAATTCAAAATGTGGACATCGATGTCCATAGGTTGTAGTATTTACTTTGACTGGCACTTGCTTCCTTTTGTCATGGTGGGGCAGTGTAGTTATGGTGGGTGGAGATGGGCGGGGCCATCCAGCCTTGGAGTTTATCACCCAGTCTAAAGTTAATTTCATGGCCCTCCACCCATCCTTTTTAACCCACTTTTCCATCCTTAAAATTCACTCTTATTAGAGTTTACCAATGTTATCACCCACCCACCATTAAAATGTCTATTACACACTCTTAGTTTTCTACAGCTCTGAGGTAAGAAGATTTTGCAAATTGGAGTAAAGGCAACGAGAGGAAGTGTATGGGGTGAAGAGATCATTAATATATGAAAAAAAGGCATTTATATTGGATTTTGTTCTCTATTTAAAGACCTGGTTACCAAAGAAGAGATGTCAAATGTTACACCAAGAGAGATGACAGAATATATGAATTATCTTGTGAAGACCTCACCAACTAAGAAATCACGATTTAGTGAACAGGCTTGGATCTTTCCAGATAACCACAAGGATAAGCTGCTAGACAAGTTTAAACGAAGGTAAATATGAAGCTGTAGCTTGCCTTCCAATCCCAGAGTCTGGGTTCAAATCTCGTAAAGTACCAGGATTTTATATCATGACAAAATATAACTTGACTCTCTATACCTCATTAAGAGAATTTATTCAATGTATATAATTGTCAAAGCAGAACAATAGAGAGAGCTTTTTAGAAAAAGTTATGGAAGTGTGATAAAATGTTTTAATTATTCTTATAATGTTAAATATTTTACCGAAATTATATTGTCTTGTATTTTTAAAGAAATTCAACAGGATTCTTATAAATGATAGCATTCCTGCTGTTGAATTTAATGCACTACAAGATACTGTAAAGCTAGGAATCTATCTATCCGGTTGCGATTCTGGCTCCAGTTGCATTTCCGTTTACAGTGCATTTTGATGATTCCATGCACATGCGTTTTTAAAGGCCTTTTTGCATTGATTCACCACCCCGCACGGCGTGCTGAAATCAAAATGGACGAATCGCTCCATGGAGCTATTAAAATAAGCGCATGCGGTTACAGAGGCGCATCACAACTGCACTAATGAAATCACTCTCATTTAAAACAGTGTATTGATTAAAACGCAGTGTACCGCAAATGGAGCCACAATCGCAACTGGACAAATGAATTCCTACCATTATAGGTATTGATGAACACATGACAATAGAGGAAGTTTGTCAAAATAAATTGTTAACTTCATACATGCCACCCCCTCCCCCCTCCTTTTTGGAAAGTGTAAAACAAAAAGTGTAAAAAAAAGAAAGAAAGAAAAAGAAATATATTAATTACCTAAAACGCCCCAAAGGTTATTTTCTGGTGTCTAGAAAACAAAAATTTCGCGGGGAATTCCCCTGGACCCAAGGGTAGTGTTGTCTTGGTCAGCCTCATTTTCGACACCCCCTTTCGGCTCCCCTTTTTGGACATCTCTGTATCCGTCCCTGTCGTAGAAAGGCTTAAAAAATGTTATCCTGATCATTTACTATTTTTATGAGTATACAATAAACTAAAACTTGAACTCCGATTTTAAAGGTTAAAGGCTATCCTTGGCATTCCTCCAATGTTGGTTGACAAACATAATGCCATCCAAGTTGTCCATTATGGACAACATGGTCACTACAATGCCCACCAGGACTCGGGATCCACCAACCTACCCTGCTGCCACCTACACAAGAACACTAAATGCATGATTTGTCGCTATCTTACATTCATGGTATATCTGAATGATGTTGAAGAAGGGGGTGAGACTGCTTTCCCAGTTGCCAATAACAAGACATTTAATCAACGTGTGAGTATTTATTATTTGTACAATGAAAATGAGTGAAGTAGCATTTTGTAAACAACAAAAGCTTCTTTAAAAATAATTTATATTTGAACCTTAGTATCGAGTAATGCTTTTTCACTTTGATAGATGTGTGTGCAACTACTTCATGACCTCTAATTCAGACCACAAAGTCCTCAATCTTTTAACAGAAAGAGACCAAACCCAGAGACCATCCCATATTTTCAGGTCGCAAAGGTGGTCTCGAATTGGAGGGCGAACTGTATTTGTATTTTTTTTAAATTTTTTTAAAAATGTTTTTATACATTTCTGTCAGTCACAGCATCTGTGGAGGTGGAATGGGTCAGGGAGTAAAGTTTCTTCATTGAGCAGGCCACCACTCCCACCAACCAGATCAAGACAGGAAAACTATTTTTATGTCAAGAAACAATACAAAATTGGGCATAGTATGTGCTGCCCACCTCAGAACACCTTAAATTATATGATTTTGAGGTGGGATATTAAAAAAATGTTTAGTAATGGAACAAAATTGATGGAAAGAAATATACAATGGGTTACATTAAATAATAAATGAGGCTTGAAATTCATTTTGTTTTCAGTTTTTAAGCAAGCTAACTTAAACTGTATCTAAGTACATGTCTCCCTCCAATGAAAGACCACTTCTGGAACCAGGGTTTCCATGGTCTTTAACACTTAAACCATATCTAAGTTCAGTTCTCCCTCCAATTAAATACCACTTCTGGGACCAGGGTTTCTATGGTCTTCAGCACTTAAACGGTATCTAAGTACAGGTCTCCCTAAAATGAAAAACCACTTCTGGGATCAGGATTTCTATGGTCTTTGGCACTTAAACCGTATCTAAGTACAGTTCTCCCTCTAATTAAAGACTACTTCTGGGACCAGGGTTTCCATGGTCTTTAGCACTTAAACCATATCTAAGTACCCTCCAATTAAAGACCACTTCTGGGACCAGGGTTTTCCATGGTCTTTAGCACTTAAACCATATCTAAGTACCCTCCAATTAAAGACCACTTCTGGGACCAGGGTTTTTCATGGTCTTTAGCACTTAAACCATATCTAAGTTCTCCCTCCAATTAAAGACCACTTCTGGGACCAGGGTTTCCATGGTCTTTAGCACTTAAACCATATCTAAGTACAGGTCTCCCTACAATTAAAGACCACTTCTTTGACCATGGTTTCCATGGTCTTTATCAGCTTTGGTCTCTAATTAGAATAACAGAGATAAAAGACATTTCTAAATTTAGGACCAAAGAAAATTTAATTGGAGGTGGTGTTTAATTGGAAGGGTTTTAAATTAGAGGAGACCTGTATTTTGTTTTTAAGAAAATGCTTGTTTCTTTTAAAGTGACAGTAAATATCATATTTTTTTTAACAGGATTTTCGTCACAGTGGCAGCACCCATCTTAACTCCAAATGTAGTGAGGCCAACCTGAGGCTTAAACCAGAGAGAGGGAAAGCTGTGCTATGGTACAATCACTTAATTAATGAAGAGACAGGATGGCTGGGAGAATTGGATGATTTCACATGGCACGGAGGCTGTCCAGTTACCAAGGGAACAAAATGGATTATGAATCGCTGGATTAATGCTAGTCCTGACAAGGAGGTTGACCTTCAATTGTAGGGGGTGTAACACACATGCAGGAACAACCACCAACTATATAGCTTACGTCTTTAAAGAAACAACCCCCCCCCCCCAAAAAAAAAAAGGGAAAAAAATGAAAAATAAATAAACAACAAAAAACAAAAACAAGAATGGTAAAAGCATACACACCAGGTCTCACTCATTCTGCATAAGACTCACACATTTAGGGTCTGTCTCTCACTCCCACACTTAAGGACCAAAATCTGACGCATAAATGTTATGCCATGTACTATTTTTGACCTTTGTAGCCCTTACTAAAAATTCTAAAGTACTTAAATATCATGGTAACACCATGTATATTTACACTGCACCAAGACTTCTTCCGTTAAAGTGCAAACTTCATTGAATTGAAGACTGGAGCGCTTGGTGGAAATTGATGCAAGCAGGCAGAAATTTAATTTAGTATTCCCCTCTTGAAAATAGTAAGAGACTGTGCCTGTACAACAGATTCATGAAGGATGTTCAATTCTCGTACAGTATGCGGGAAGAATGATAATTTGTGATAGTCTCTGTAGACATGTCATTTTTTAAAGCGCTGTCGGATAAGATCAAAGAAAGCGAACAGTGTGAAAAAAAATAGTATGGAGACAACCTGAAATGATGTATTCTCAAAGGGAAACATGCAGATCCTGAATGCATTTTTGAGCATTTAGGAAATGAAATTTCAGGGGGTGGGGGTCAAACACCTTAAAGGGGGAAGGGTTGAATTTTCAAAGGTCTCCTGCCTGCAAATTTTTTAACTTGGGAGTGTCTGTGAAAGAAATCTTACCTTTTACGTTTTTCAAAATAATAAGATACAAATTTGCTACAGTCGTACGTATATAAATACAAATAAACATAAAGTATTCATTCAGAATATTTGCAATAAACAAGATAAATAATAATATTGATACATTCCATATAAATAGGTCAGATTTATAAAATAGCTACTTATCATTATTTTACAGTAATGATGGATGATTTTCATTTAATATAATGATGACAATGTAATGTTTACCATAGTGGGGATGATTATAATGGTGTTTATGACAGTGGTGATTCTCAACTTTTAAATTAAATAAGCTAATTCGCAGTTTGAACTGCACATGCCCAAGTTCAATCAACATAAACTTATGTTGTGTTTATGTTTATTGACCTTGATACAGGCATACGCTTATAAGCGACTTCGATATCTCAAGAGGGCGCTACATGTCAAAGGTCAATTGAGACAAAATTTGTGACTGATACTTGCTTTTTGTTGGGGAAAGGCCATGCAGGAAGTGGCAGTTAATACAAAATTGCAATTAATAATGGAAAATGAATACTACACTTACAAATCAGGTATAGGCCTAGCAGGAGGTGCTATACATCGCCTCCAGAGAAGCATGCAGCAGCCTGTTGTCTTATCTCGTGGGGTGAAAAGTTGTCCCGATTGACCTTTATGACATGTGGCGCCCTCTAGAAATATCAAAGTTGCTTATAGAAATTAACAGCTGCTTTGTTTTCCATAAAATTTCTACACTGTCTCTACAATGCTTACACTGTAATCATTACACTGCTTTTTTGTTCCCGAAAGCAGGGTCCACACTGTGTCACAATCGGATGATCATCAGCCAACGAATTCATCTCTGATCATTGTGAGCGCTTGACGACAGAACGCCATCTGTATTGTCAGATGCAGTCTGGGTGGATCATCATTAAAAACGATCCATTACAAGCACCCCGTCGAGTTGTGTTCTGCATATGAAAACAACCATCGACTTGGATGTGCCTCTGCCTTCAGTGAGAATAATTGAAATATCTTGGGTTTTAATCCTGATGAGAACTATATATTTCTTACTATATTTTAACACTTTAACTTTGTTATTATTTTTGTGAACTTAAAATTTATTAACTTCAATCTTCAATATGGTCTCTTGTAATCAAATGGTGCAATTTAAAATTAGTTAATGTGCAGTAAATGTTACTTGAAAATATAAAGATATTGAGCTTGTAACAAGAGTATGGCATGTATTTTAAAAACGACAGAAATGCATTCTTCTCTCAGCATCCTAAGCCTCCCAGAAATTGGAACGTCCTCCGGCACTGCCGCAAAACCAAGAAAAAATAACCCGTCTCCTGCAAATTCATAACATTCGTATGTTTTTACTACTTTTAATGAATTGTCTCACGATGGTTATTGCCGATGGGTATCACCATGCCCAGCAAAATAAAATAAATTATTTAAAGAAAGCTCATTTAACGGGATTTCCTGGAAGTGGATTTCTTCCAACTTAGGATACCTATTATTCTCTGAATCTTTGTGAACATTGATATCAAGTGATACAGTTTTCAAATCAAATTGTATGTCGATTACAGTATTATGAACGTTATTCACTTTGTAACTTTTACACCGGTAAGAAATATTTTTAATCAAGTTTGGATTTTCTATGCAGTACCGTAGTTTTAAGCTCTCTCCACCCTATCAAATTTTGTGTGACAAAATAAAGTGTGATATGCCCATATTTGGGTGTAATTCAGTATGACATCACAATGCCCATATATGGGCACATGACACAAATTTGTCAAATAACTTGATAATGTGAACAGAGCATTATTTGTATTTTATAAACAATATGAGATATGTTTAATCTGAATAGTGCCTTTTTACATTGAATGTTTTTTTTAATGATTGGTAAGTAAATAATCATATTTATTGTATTTGTTAACAGTAAACTAGATTATATAATACTGTACATCGAAATTTAGCATGGTACTATAGCTTTAATTCAACAGTGGTCGATGTTGTATGTTCATTGTGCCTTATGCTATCCGTTATGGATGTTATTCATTTTGAGATATTAACTGCCTTCTAGAAGTCAGGCAATTTCCCACAAAACCACACACGTTATCAGCTTTCAGTACAGCGGTTTGGTGCAACGTGAAAGGCCATGGTTTCTCAACCACGAGGTCGGGGTTTCAATCCATGTGAATTTTGCTTGTGTCTTTGAGCAGGGCACTTTAAGTACGTTGCTTTTCTCCACCCCGGATTATAAAAAAGTACGTACCTGTGCTGGTTACAGCAGCAATACTTAAGTACGTGGATCCAATGACAAGGAAGAGAAGCGATTCGTATCTTCAAAGAAGGCACTGTAATATAAATAACCAAAATATGAAATATAAGAATTACGTCATAGACCAAAAACAATTCAGTCTATAATGATTAAAGCCTGGTCTCCGTAAAATCGCTAATACAATGTTTTCAGTGCAATCGTTGTACTGTGTAACAGCCCCCGATTCAATCGGGAAAGCTTCCCGATTCGACTGAACAATCAGGTCACCAAAAAATGTCGGTGATACCGTGTAGTGATTGTATGTTCAGCTTTACAGACGTTTTTGAAATATGTTAAGGTTATATGCAAAGAATATAAAAATGGTATTCATTTTTGTTATGTTTAGTGGTAAAAAATATTCGAAAATGTTCTGCGGTTATATGAAAATATAAGAATTTTTTTTTAAATGTTTAGTTGGAAGGAATAATTTTCGTTCTAATTTTAAGTGTAATGCTAACATCTTATGATGAATTATTTCTCAAATTTTGTGATATATGAAGATATATATATATATATATATATATATATATATATATATATATATACATATATTTTTTTTCAAAATTAGTAATATGAAAGTGTGCTAACATCTTATGATGAATTATTTTTAAAATTTTTGAATATATGAAGACTCTTATATATATATATATGTTTGTATGTATGTATTTATAGGTTTGAAAATTAGTAATATGAATGGTTGTTTAGTACGTGAATGGTTGTTTAGTTCTTAATCTGAATTTTTGAAAATTATTTCCAATATCAGACAATTGGTAGAGAATTATAAACACTTCGCTGTTATATAGCTATGTTTTGACATTTTGTATTATTGAATCTCGGGCTTATTGTACATAACAATATCATACAAAATAGGCCTATTTAATAATTGTAAGCATCTGTGATTCTCGTTCAACATCACATCATTGCGTGCGTGAAGCTGGCTTTCATTATACGACAAAAATGTATTGCAATTTTCATCAAACTGTACAGTTAAAGAATCATGTTGAAGACACAGATAATCGAAAACAACCATACAGAACATTAAAAATAGATTAAACAAGTAAAGTACATGCCAAAATAGAAAGACAAACTTTTATTAGTTTATCACGCAGTACTGCATACGTGTGTTTTTGTGAGGATATGGTAGTACCAGTTAAGACGTTGAAAGTGTTTTCAATTAACAAACCAAACGTAAAATATTTGAATGTAAAAAAAAATGTATAAACATAAGATTGAAAGCTCTTTCAGGGATAGCGATACAAAAAGTGTAGGCCCGGTATAGCAAGGGCTACATCACATCCAAAGGTACAGTATTTCCGTTGACAAGGAAGTTGAATGCACATGATTTAAATCTGTTTAGATAAGTTTGACGTTAATACACAAATGGGACAAATAATAAACGGGAACACAACCTGCCTCGATGATCTACAGATTTACTACAGATTTACAAGAGTTAAGTATTTATTTAAAGAACTCAAATCACGAAAAGCTAAAGGGTCTGATATAGCATCAGTTGCAAATAGGCCTACTTAAGGATGTGCAGACCAGTTATCCCCTGCTCCCCCATAAGGGACCCATATTGTGCCCATATGCAGATCTGTATGTTTACCATATTGGCTATCCTTGAGGAAATCTGGATTGCACCCAATCAATTGCACATGGGTGGTATATGGGACCCATATAGCTTCTGGCCCATGTGGGGGCCCCTCGGATTCTCCACCAAAGCCCCATATCGGACCCACATGTGCCCATTGCAACTGCACATGGGTGATATGTGTCCCATGTGAGGCCCATATTTTCTGGCTCATGATGAATGGCATGCTGGTTTGCCCATATGGAGGCCGTGGTTTAGCTGACATGGCCCAGATAGAAGATGGAGGCCACACATCACCGACTTGGCTTCTAACTGGTTTGAATATGCCTATTGGGTGTGTTGATGACCATGAGCTACATTTCAACTTACTCCTCTACTGAAAATAATACTTTTCAATTGCAAGTATAGTATAAAATAATTTCACTGCAATAAGTAAACAAAATAGAAAGCAATATTGTCAATTGCAAATAAAAAAGTGGTAAATGAAATCCAAATTTCTCAGTATAACAGGCCCTACAATTCAATTTCTCCAGCTCCTTGGAAAGTAAGAATATTTTATATATCGCTTTGATCGCATTGGGAACATCACATATTTAACGTTTTTGCAGATTATGAATACTGTATCCTCAAATTGATAGGGTCCATGCAAGATATCAATAAGAATCATCAATAGTTTCACCATGAATCATAGTGACAGACATTCCGAATGCCTTTCTCCCTCATACTTTTCACAAAAGTTATTAAGAATCTATTCAATCGCCTCCTTTATTTCACAACTATAGTTGCATCCACGCATTTCAGATTTCTGCGCCTGGCCCTGGAAAAATAAAAGACCAAAAATAATAGCTTTTAAGATTTAATCACTTAGATTTATCTAACAAAGAGTCATGCAACACATATAAAGTTTTGAAAATTAGTGATTTTATTGACTTGGGTTTTTGTGACATATGTCTCCAACCCCTTTGGGATTAGGCACAATCATCATAGCACACTCGTCACAGCACAATTATGACAAATTATTACATTTTATTATGCATTAGAGGGGTGAAGTGAATGTGAATAGGATTGGACTCCTTCGGACCCCTCTGTTCTGACCCCTTGGCAAATTTCTGGCCTCACCGCTGTAAACAAATGGCAGATTTTTTTTTTGAAAACCAGACTTCTCCGAGGGCTGGGTGCTACAGCCACCGGCCGAGTTGGTTATGCAGACATGAACTGACACTGTATTATTAATTACAGCTAATTTCACAAACTTTATGATTAATATTTTAATAAGAAAAATAGGCCTAACTACACCTATTCCCATGACAGTGCCAATTTTAATTTAGTACATACATTAATAAGTATAACACATTTAGTACACTTCTTTTTTATAAGAACCAGTTTTGTCGAGTTTCAGTGTATTTACGTTTGGCCGATTTGAGTCTCAATGTTCTTATTTTACACACTTTTTAAAGACAGAAAATTATTATTGTAAATACTAGGCCTATATAATAATAATAATAATAATAATAGGCCCTAATAATAATAGTAGGCCCTAATAATAATAATAATAATAATAATAATAATAATAATAATAATAATAATAATAATAATAATAATAATAATAATACTAATAATAATAATAATAATAATATGAGTAGTGGTTGACTCCATACGTTTTAATATAATTATTTGTCAATCTAATACTGCTAAACCAGCTAAAATTGTCTTCAACTTTACCGAACACATCCTCATTGGGGCCCTCCCATGATGAAAACTACACTGTGACCATCTTTGCTGTGACCTGCTGTGACCACGAGCGCGAGATGGAACAGTGGGCGCACTAAGATGGGGAAAAGTCAATCAGTATATTTCTCGATCCTTTTCATACTTATTCAATTTAATACAATTCAAATTCTATAATGGGTTTAATACAAGATTAAGTAATGATTGAAAACGGAAACTATAATAAATCTGCTCCAAAATATATTTGTCACATCTAAATCCTTGGTCACATTATTTAAAAGTTGTTTTAGCTATTATTTGTCACACGACAGTCTTAGTGCTACCCTAACGCATTTGCAATGATTGTTCCTATTCTAGTCCTAAACGCTCCCAAAATCATTCGGTCCGATCATAGTCATATATTATGTAGGCCTACATATATATCCCACCTTTCTCGTAAGGACCCACCACCTCGAGAACTGTAAATTTTTGTACAGTACACGAATACAGTGATGTAATCATCTGACACTACAATAAATGTGCTCCAGAATTTATTTGTCACATTTTTATTTCAAAGTTGTTAGCTATTGACTATCTATATTAAGGCCTAATCCTTATTTTGTACACGAAACACTAATCCAAGCACCAAATTCCTTGGTGTGAGGTTGTCGCAGAAACTTGTGTTGAATCGTTTCACTGTACAGTACCGTACGAGTCATGCATTTTGTTGATGACGAAATAATTATTCTGTATTACGTCTATTTTAACCTTACAGGTATGTTATGTCTTTTGTAGTCTAAGATCCAATGATCAACATCTTTTAGCCAGAATTGTTAAGCAAGCATCCAGAATTATTTGTGTGTTAAGCAAGCTCATCCGGATATTTTATGAAAATCAACTCTGTTTAAGCCTACCTATCTGATAATTTAATTTTATAATATATTCTTGAAAAGCATTAGAATTGATCGCATATTACAAAGTAAAATTATAACTAACAGCTGCGGGAAGTCATTCGTTCCTACAGCGATTAGATTTGTTAATGTTTCAGTGTAATGATCGATTTTATTCTGTATATTTATTTGTATATGTTTGTTGTTTGCATGTTTTACTGTCAAGGCCCATAAAAATCGTTTTTTGTACTTCCTGCCTTCAAATTGGATTTGATTTTCAAAATTTAGTAAAAAAAAAAAGGAATGGCCACACAGTTCCTTTGTATTATAGGCCTATAGATGCTTAACATTGCAATCATTGTCTGTGTAAAGTTGTTATAATTATATATATAAAAAACAATATTAAGTAATATATAAACAAAACTCACCCAATCTGGTCGTCAAAATATAAAGATTTTTTTTTTAAACATTAAACTGGATGACAATGTCATGCAGGCGCCCCATGACAGAGACCGGAAGTTTTTTCAACAAGTCCAGTAGTAAAACGTCAATGACACAAATGTTCAACAAACTTTAAGAATAATAAAGACGACAAAAACATCTGTTGGACTTTAAAAATAAAATAAAATAAAATCTATAGACAGTAAATTTTAAGACAATAAAAATAGGGGGAAACAGTCAATACTGCGAAGCAAACCATTTGTAAAATTTCGTCTTAAAACGTTGAATTTCTTTATCGATGTATAAGGAAGGAATATCCGATGTCCTGATTGATTACTGTAGAGGCCTATAACAAAACTGTATTTTAAGACACAATTTACGCAGCCAAAGAGCAATTTGAATATTATCGGCATATTTATAATATATTTGGTAAGTCTGAGATCAATAAATTATTTATTTATTAGAAACTACACAATTAACTACTTTACAGTTTTCTTTCCTATTGAGTGCAATTTGTACACTGTAGTCGTTTTATTTTATAAACTAGACACAAAAATAACAGTGACAAAATATTTAGTTTTTATTATAATATATATATATTAT